TTTTTTTCGGTCGGTTTGATTTTTCTATTTCGTACCGTCCGGGCTCCAAGAACATCAAGCCCGATGCCTTGTCTCGCATTTTTGATCGTTCCGAATGTCCATTTTCTCCCAGTTCCATCGTGCCGGAGAGACTGGTAATCTCTGCGGTTACTTGGGAGATCGAATCTAAGGTTCGGAATGCCTTACAAGGGGTAACACCTCCGTCCGGTTGCCCACCGAGTTGTTTATTCGTGCCAGAGAGGTTGCGGTCCGACATTATCCGCTGGGGTCACTCCTCTAAGATCGCTTGTCATCCAGGAATGAAGCGTACTATTTTTCTGGTTAAACAACTGTTCTGGTGGCAGTCCTTGGCTCGTGACGTCCGTAGTTTTGTTTTGGCCTGTTCAGTTTGCGCTGTTGGTAAGACTTCCAATCAGCCCCCGGCGGGTTTCCTTCAGCCGCTGTCTGTCCCTTCGAGACCCTGGTCCCATATTGCGCTAGATTTTGTTACAGCCCTCCCACCCTCCCACCCTCCCAGGGCAACACGGTGGTTCTTACTGTGGTGGACCGGTTCTCGAAGGCAGCCCATTTTATTCCCCTGCCTAAGATTCCTTCTGCCAGGGAGACAGCGGTCACTGTCTTTGACCATGTTTTTCGCATTCATGGCCTCCCGATGGACGTGGTCTCTGACAGAGGACCCCAGTTTGTTTCCAAATTCTGGAAAGAGTTTTGTCGATTGCTAGGAGCGAGTGTGAGTCTTTCTTCTGGATTCCATCCCCAAAGCAATGGTCAGACAGAGCGGGCCAACCAAGATTTGGAACGGGTGTTACGATGTTTAGTGTCTCAGAATCCGTCCTCCTGGAGCCAGCAGCTCTCATGGGTTGAGTATGCGCATAACTCGTTACCAGTATCGTCCACGGGCCTCTCTCCATTTGAAGGTAGTCTAGGTTACCAGCCACCTATTTTTCAGAACCTGGAAGCCGAAGTCGCGGTCCCCTCCGCTCACGCGTTTGTCCAGAGGTGCCGCCTCACCTGGAGAAGGGCCAGGTCGGCTCTCCTCCGGGTGCAGGCACGCACTAAGGCCCAAGCCGATCGCCACCGGTCTAAGCCTCCCGAATACGTCGTTGGTCAAAAGGTGTGGCTTTCTACTCTGAACATTCCCCTCCGCACCGTTTGTAATAAGCTTGCTCCCAAATTTATTGGCCCATTCATTGTCACTAAGATCCTTAGTCCAGTGGCAGTTCGTCTCAAACTTCCTCCGGTATACAGGAGAATTAATCCGGTGTTTCATGTTTCCAAATTAAAACCTGTTTTTCGTTCACCGCATCATCAGCTGTTAGACCTTTTATTAAGACGTGTGCCTTTCCAACTCATACCCATTCAATTGAATTTGCCACAGGTCAACTTCACTCGAAGTGTAGTAACATCTACAAGTGATATGAATGCCCATGAGCTAAATTTCAACTCTCCCAGATATGACCCAGGTATGAATACTTATGCATTGGAATCCTTTAGGTTTTTATTTAAAAAAAATTGCAAAGATGTTAAAAACCTGCTTTTTGCTTTAGCATTATGGTGTATGGTGTGTAGATTGATAATTTAAAAAGTAATTTAAAACAGTTTAAAATAAGGCAGCAACATAACAAAATGTGGAAAAAATGAAGGGGTATGAATACTTTCGCAAGGCACTGTATTTACTTCAGAGGCAAAATGATATAATATAAGAAGTCTTGTTTTATGAAAAAATTATCAAAATGAAGGTAGTTCATGATTAAAACAAGAACAAATATCTGCCAATGGGCTCAGAAAATGGGCCTCATTCCCAATGCCAGATGTTTGGTCTTCTTATAAGCATATACTCAATTTTGTTCAGTTTCTCAGAAAACAAAATTTCATATGTTAATTTTGCATCTCAAGTAGGCCTAAATGTATCTTATTTTTAGATATTTGTATTGGACAACAAAACAAAACCACAGAGGACGTTTTTGCAGTGCATACAACATTTAATGCCATGACTTTAAGACTTTCTGCTCCAATTTAAGTCCTTTTTAGGCCAAATTAAGACCTTTTTAAGAACAGCAGAAACCCGGGTAGAAATATAATCAGTTAAGCTTTTTGAAACATATAAAATATTCCTTTCTTTTATATTTTGAGTGGACAAAAGGTGAGTTTGCCTTTCCAATGGACACCCAGTCTACAGCACCGAAGACTGTATGGAGAGTAGAGAAACGGACAGCTATGATGAAACAGTGAGTACGCAGGTGATATATCCCTGCACACTAGCAGTGGGGCCGGCAGCACTAAACGCCCTTCTGCATGGGGCAGAGGAGCTTCAACTTCATCAAACCCCTCGCAGGATCAGCCCCCTTCTTAATGGATTACTGCTGTCTCAGTGGAACCACACTGCAAATAATGATAGAACACCTGCAGATTAAACCATCTTACACAATACTCAATTCATTACCTTTTCCCCAGATAAAGGCCAGCTAATAAAAATATGATTTTCTCTTGCACCGGAACAGTCACACCTTTATCCTTTAAGGGAAACAAAGGGAGAGGGGGAAGGTGATATCATCCGAAAGCAATAACGGCCATCATTGCAATAACATGGTTGCAACATTGCGAGGAAAAAGAAAAATATGTGGCGGTATAGAATGAAATTTTCAACAAATCTACAGTACTTGCATGCGGTATTTCATTATTTTACAAAACTGGCATTTTTTTGTTCTGTCTTTTATATAGGAACATTACATTTCAAACATATCATAATAATTAGCTTTTTTTTTTACAAGTGTTATTTATTTGTACCAGTGTGGAATCTTTCATAAGTCAACAGATATGAAAAATCCCGCACTAAAAAAAGAAATATTTTCCACTATTTTGAAGAGCTTCAATACAGACTATTAAAACCTCCCAGAACCTTGATGCCATTGGCACTGACAACCAATTCAAAGTGATAATCAGCAAAGTGTGATCTAGAGAAGTGAAACCAATGTGAAGAATGCAGTGGTGGTCTGATGCAGGGCAAAATTGGGTCACCTGGCTGCATGTAAACATGTGGGCTCTCAACAGCTCTCTCCAGGTGACACCTCATCACCGTGCTGCTAGAATGATGGCTTACACCCGTCTGGCTTGTCAAAACACTGTTTCGCAGGCAATTACCACGGTGGCTAGCCCACCACCGGGTTCGGATGGATGGGCGACACAACCAAAGGGTCACTCCTCTGCCCATATTTCTAGCGCTTTGCTCTGGTGCGGCGGGACAGCAAATTGGCTGGCGTCTGTCAGTGGTTATCTGTATTGCCGGGAACTCGTAGGACGTCTTGTATCTTGCCTTCATCAGATTCAAACAGAATATCTGAAAACAGAGAGAAGTAAATGGATGAAATTCTCAAACGATCTGTTTGAAATCATGTTTCTGTGTTGTTTTTCTCTTGCAGGATGTTATGAAGTGCGTACATTTACTACATGAACCAAGGATTTAAATAATCAAATATATATGGCCTTACTTTGATTTGTAAAGAAAAAGTGTACTAGCATAAAACATTACACAACAGAAATTAAAGAAGTAAACATTAATATACAGTACAATATGTAAAAACATACAAAAGTAAAATCCTAGTAAAAACAACAATAAGGGGCTTCGTTATAATAATAATATTAATAACAACCACATCATTACCTACTGTAATGTCATTCCTTGTATACACATTAAATACATACAGTCTAATAAATTTGAATACGGTTTGCATAAATTAACTGTTTGCAACGGGCTGTCTAACAGGAAATATCATAAAAACACAAATAAGTAAATACATGCAAACCCAAACAATTCATGATATTGAACAATTGTTTGTCATACTTGTAACGACTTATAACGTTATAACTTATAAATTAAACTTAACTGTTGACAAGAATTTTGCTTACCAGCAAACTTTAAAAAGAGCTGTCAACGCGTGACACTTCCTTCCCCGCGCGTGCCTGACAAGCACTCTCTCCACCCCGCGCGCGCACGGACTCTTCCGTTGTCATGGACACCAACAAACTTCCGGAAACATGGCGAGACTTGAGAAACTTTACAAGCAGGTTGATAACATAAAAGAGCAATATTTTATCCGCAACAGGTAATGAAAAACGCAAATTATTCGGTTCGTTACATTTGAAAACAGTGGTGTATTGTTTTGTTATATCAAAACGTTAAAAACTTAAAAAGCAGTTTTTAGAAAAGAATAAATAAGGCCTATATGCTTTATAATGACATTATCAGCCTAAGCTATAACATCGCATGTTACAGGATCGCGGAGGAAAACAGACAGAAAGAGAACGAGGCTGCGGTCAGAATTCAGAGCTGGTTCAGGGGCTGCCAGGTGAGAGCATTCCTCAGGTAAGATCTCATTTTCATCTATCAATATGATCGATTTGTCAAGCTTTAATATGTACAGAAAATGAACTCTTTAAGTTAATGTATGTACTTATTTATTTGTTTGTTTATGCGCTTATTTAGAGGGAACGTAAGTGGTAGTCCTGTTTCAGTTCATTCCCTATGCTACATAAGACATAAATAAATAAATAATAGTTTTCTGCAGTGTTTTAGACACGTTTTACCTATAGTAATCAGGTAATTTAATTTGTATTTATTTATTTTTAAAGCAATTTAAATAAATGCTTTAAAATCTAATTGCAGGTTGCAAGAGAGTGCAATAATCGAGTCTGGAAGTAAAAATCCCATTCATTTTCTCTATAGAGATTTTTAACAACAACTACAATGTTGTTAATTGATATGCTGTTGTTGAAGCTATCAGCCATTTAAATAATCATGTTTAAGAGCGGAATTCTTGGTTAAAAACTACATTACCCATGATTCTGCAAACAACTTGTATATATACAGTTATACTGTATTTATGTGTGTGTGTGTGTGTACAGTATATGATTCATATATAAAGTACAGAACTATACTTACAGCTTGCTGTTTTTTATCAGTCATCTGCATAAAAATGCAACATTAATACAAAAATATATCACTTTTTTTTTGCATAAAATCAAAGTTTGTAATGTTGTGATTCACCTTGTAACCGGTTGGTTTGATTCATGACTTTTAACTCTTTAACAAAACTCTTTTAAAATACCTATGGGAAAAATGAATTATACAAACACTTCCTGCCACTGAAAAAGTGGGTGGGCGCTGTTGCACTCTATAGGTGTGACATTTGTCCATATTGCATAGGGTAGGCAGATGTGTTAATGAGGACAGGCGTATAATTCTATATTCTCAGCATATAGCTGTAAGTGGCTGCTGAAGCCTAAATCTAATGCATTTGGTCTATAAATGCAAGAATTAGCCAGTGCACAGGGTGCTACAGTGTGTAACCTCAACATATTTCTGTGCAGTGAGCAGACAAACTCCCAGACAGTAGGTTAATTTAGATTACTTTAGTTAATTGATCAATGTGTTAAGTGGCTAATTAAGCACAATCTAGGTTTCTTGAGTGCAGCTCCAGGGTTGCCACCGTCCCTATACGCATTGATTTTTTGGAGTTATAAATGGCCTTTTGAAAATTGATGGCCATGTTGAGTTCAGAGTTGCCATAGACATGCATTTAGAGGGTGGTTAATGATGAATGCAAATGGACAGTTGTCCAAGAAAGACCTACCGCAGGCATGCAGAGGTGAAAAAAGGGGACTTTGAGGAAAAAGGTTTAGATTTAATCTGTTTAAAATTACAGAACGATAATTACAGCTTTCTGAGTGTTGTTTTATTTTTCAGTCATCTGCATAAAAATGCAACATTAATACAAAAAATATGGCGTGGATTCACTGCACGGGCACTTTTCAGACAAAGGGTAAAGGTAAGTTGTGGAGACACGTAATATTGATTATATTATGATAACCCTCATTAACATTTAGCAGTTAACAGGCATGCCATGATTGACATACATCTGGCGTAAGTTTGTAATTTGACAATTCGTATGGATTTTTAATGGAATGCTTAAAAATACCTCATATCTCCTCCATGTTTTTAAAAGTATTGACAAATTAGTACACATTTTTCTTCATTCATCTTCATTTCTTCATTTTCTAAAATAATTCCTGAGGGTTTTGTGAGAACAGATTTTATATTAGATTTAATTTGTTCAGGAAAATGTTGTTGTCTCTGTTTTGTTCAATTATGACCTACAGTTTGTTGCCTATTTTATGTCTTTCTAAAATGTTCAGTTACAGTTATTGTTTTAGTTTTTTTTAACATCCAGGAAATCCAGTAAGTATAATATGGAAATTCTGCATTATTTGAGAAGTAACTTTTTTTAAGAGAAAATAAATCATGGACTACCATGAAATCTTATATATAAAAGGCAAGGAAACTGTACATGGTGTCCTTTTGTTTGATTTCTTGTCACCTATAATTGAAAATATGTACATCTTTCCTCTACTATCATGTAGAGAAGCAATATCAAGTATCTTTTGTGTCCGCAGTGAGTGAATCATTTGTGCCTTGTGTCTTGTGAATATTCCTGACTGTGTTTAGTCGGTCAATGCTCAGCAGCATTCCATTGATTATCAAACTCAGCGAAGAGCATTTTACCTTCATACATCTCCATTAGTTACCAGTGTGACTTCCATAGATTTTCCAGCCATGTCTGCATTATATATTAAGAACAGGCACTTCCCTTCGATACAAAGTATGACTTGCCACTCCACCCTCTTATCTGCTGCTGCGTCTCCATGACTTTTATGTATTATGTATAAAGAGGATTTTATTCCTCGCATGTTGGGAAAACATCAGAGGGCCCAGTCACAATGTAATGCTATCTCCCTCTCTTCACAGACAGCATATTTTATCATGAAGATGAATTTCTACAATAAGATGGCTGTCAAGGTAAATATTTCTCTTGCTGTTTAGTGAGTGAAAAGTCAGTGGGTCACACATTTGATTTGGATGAAATCTGTAAACAAATTTTACTGGTTTGTAATAACTGCATTGAAATGTTAAGTGGGGCATAACATAAAAAAATACTTTTTAAATACTTTTTTTTTATGTTTTCATAGCTATTATAAATATATAAAATATATAAATGTGATATATAAAGATATGTACTTGCATTGAATTTGCATTAAAATTATTAAAAAGTGACATTGAAGAACTTTACATTGTTTTCTATAACAATCAATGCTGTTATTTTGACATTGAAATTGAAAACACTCTCTCACACACACACACACACACACACACAAAGCAGCTCAACTGTTTTCGATGGTGTTAGAGATGTTTCTTGCACATCAAATCAGCATATTAGAGTGATTTCTGAAGGAGCATGTGACACTGAAGACTGGCGTAATGATGCTGAAAATGGCTGCCATCACAAAAATGTATTGCATTTAAAAATATATTAAATACAAAACAGTTCTTTTAAATTTATTTTAAATTATTTATTTCACAATATTATTGTTTTTACTGAATTTTTGATCAAATAATTGTAGAATTGGTGAGCATAAGACTTCTTAAAAAAACAAAATATTTTCCTTAAACATACTGACATATTAACAGAAGTCAAATACAAATATGAATGAATTTGCTATCATATTTTCTCATCTGTTATAAGGCCTAGTTGTAAAAAGGTAGCTACATCAATTCAGCATGCTCTATTTCACAGCCTATAAATCCAACAAGTTTATATTTGAGTGATATATTGGCACTTTTATAGAGCTATTGGTATGCATAGAAACTTTAGCTTTACAATTGTTTTTCCCTGAGGTGAAACTTTTAAAGAATTTTATAAGTCTTACAAAATTTCATAGCTTATTGAAGAATGTTGCATTTCTATGGAGGATTGCATATTTCTAGTGTGATCATTGGAAATCACAAGAAATGTGAACTGAGGGAGTGATTTATACGCAAATCTTTTGTGGTAAATCTAGGGCCCACCCTGTATTCTTTGCTCCCACTTCTGTTATGTGAGTCTAATTTGAAACATGAAGCTTGACCTCTTCTCAGGGGTCAGAGAATATAAGACTAAAGGTCCTGTCACCACTTAGACACAAACAGAAGCTGTTCAACAGGACAGACAGCTTTTATAGCCCTTGTAAAAGATAGAGTGCTATGTCCGGGAAGCACCGGTAATGTAAAAATCTGCTGAAGGAAAAAAAGAAAGGGCGACTGTGAAAACAGTCACTGAAGGATCTGTTTCAAGCACAGACTGGGTGTGTTGGATGGGAAGAATGGACTGTCAATTGTTCTTTTTGAGTTTGGAAAGCTTCATGGGAAAGTATGTATGAGGTTTGCTAATGAATGCCAATTTATACAACTGTGGCCTTATGTTTACATACACCTAGCAGAATTTGCAATTATGATCTCCCGCTTATTTTGTTAAAAATTAACAAAATTCTAAACATTTTTGTGGCATCTCAAAGGGGCACAAAATTACTTTCACTGACTTTTTCATTAACTGTTCCCTCCTGGTGGAATGACCTGCCCAACTCAACTCACAAAACAAAATAGCTTTCTATTTTTTCTATTCTATCTGCTTGTTTTTCTTTGTGTGCTTACTATGTGTACTGCGTTAGGCTAACCGAGACTTGTCATTGTACTATATATTGTTGCTCTTTTGTTAGTTTTGACTGTTTTTATTGTCCTCATTTGTAAGCCGCTTTGGATAAAAGCGTCTGCTAAATGAATAAATGTAAATGTAAAAATGACCACGTATCGCAGATTGGATGGATGGATAGAGATGTTGTATTGAATTGATTGCCCTTAATCAAAAAAGTCTGTAGTTTGCATCTAATCAGTTGCGAAACAAGGTCATTGCTCCTCCTCACTTTTGTCCATTAAAGCTGAAAACAACAGACATTGAAGCTTTAGCATTGCGCTTCTTTTTAGCCATTTCCTCGATTCTATAAAGTGTTTATCATGCTCTTTACCGAAAGCCAATGTGTTAGCCTTTTAATAGAAATCAGTGTTTACAAGCGAGGCCCGATTTGTATTAGATCTAATTGAGCAATATGCATCATTGATTTTACTAGTCTAAGAGGTCACAAACAACTCAGAAACCAAGCCTGCAATTACTTTATTTAAAATTATCTATTGACTATTGATCAATGGCAATTCTTGTTTTGTTTAGTTTTTGCCTTATTATTTTTTTTCACCTGCTATTGTTTTAAGTACCTAATTAGCCTGAAGGACATCTGTCCTTTTTGTTTTGGGTCCTCGGTGGTGCTGTCATGGTGGCACTAACTATCACTCTCATTCTTCATGGAGTGACAATGACTGCAAGCTCTAAAGTGACAGGGGCTTCTTTAATTTGCTCTGACTTTGATTTGTCTTTTAGGAATTTAACTTTTAATTACTTTTTACAGTCTCAAATATAACTCAATTTCATACTCTTTATCTGCCATACAGTGAAATAATAAAGGAAATAATAGGTATATAATAATTAGGTATATGTAATCATAATCAAAAATGACATTTCTTTTGCAGATACAGCAGAGATGGCGGGGCTATTATGTGAGGAAGTATGTACACAATTATTATGCACGCAAGAGATATTTGGAGGGACTGACAAGGAAGAATGAACACATCAGGTGAAAAAAAACATTTTTTTATACATATACAGCTCCAAATAAAGTAATATTTGTACATAATATTACATTAGACTAATGTTCACAGATGACCATTAAATTCTTGCAAAGACAAAGGAATGCCATGCCTTTAACAGCATGTTTGAGACATATACATTAGCAGCATGCCATGCATAAATTGCCTCTGGTTACTTGAAAATGAATATCTTTATGAAATTCAAAATTAGCCTCTGATTTGCGTGTGCCCCCACATTTATTAAAAAAAAAAAAAGTTCCTGCTTCAGGGGCTGAAGGAAGATGCCATCTTTTATTTTTGATAAAAATGAAGTCACTTTTTTTAATGTGACCAATACATTTTGTGGGAAAATATCTTAAGGGTCTAGCTAAAATTAAATGTAAATCTGTTAAGTGCTCCTTGGATCACTGACTCCCAACACCCCACCCCCTCCCTCCATCTCCCTGCTCCAGCCTCTCTTTAAGTGGGAATGTTCTCTTTTAATGGGGTTTCTCACCTATGAATCATGTTAACACATTGCATTTCTCTATAAAAACATTGGGCCATCATGTACAGCACTGTGTCTTATACTGTATAATGTAAGCTTTTTTACTCTTTTCTATTTCCTGTTTTGGAAGATGCCAAAATTTTGCGCACGATAGTTGTAAACGTATTTTTCAGTAAGCCATACAGATGCTGAGGTCACATAAAATAGAATGCTGTAATTGTATCTATTAGCATTGTCAATTTAATTCACATTTTTTAACTTAAAATCATGGCAAAAAAGTGTGATTAAATCAATTCATCAGCCTTTAATGTAATTAATTTGATTATTTTGTTGACTGACAGCCCTAATATCTATATATTGTGAAACACTGATTTATATATATTAAAAACATGACGTGGTGCAAGTAAGTAAAATTTAAATTTATATTATTATTTAAATTATACATTTGATTATTTCAGAATTGGTCATTGTCTGATCAATCTGCCTGGTTAGTATTAAACAGTTATTTGTGGGAATAGAAACTCTTGTCCCAGTGAGTTTTTGATATCTGTCCAACTGTGTTTTACAAACAACGTCCCATTGTTTTGTTCGCCTGTCCTTCTCACTCTGTCTGCTAGTGCATTAATTAGTTGCTTATGTAACGCTTGTGAGGTCATGATGAATCAGTCAAAGATGCGAAGTGAAAGATCACTGCGCTGATTCTGACAATCTGTTCCACGTTGGGCTCAGGATCACCCACTGACTGATTAGTCACCCCTCAAAGGTCTCGGTGCCAGGATTTTAATCCGTACAGCTCCGGCGCCTGAATAAATTATTCAAAATTTTCCTAATGTTCCCATTTAGCACAAGCAGACCAGTCCGGCATGCCAATGATAGGAGGCCAGCGACTACCCGTGTCAGGGCGGCCCCTCTCTCATTCTCTCTCCCTGCCAGCAGTGAAGGATCCCCCCTCCTTGTTCAAAATGATCTGTGTCGTTTCATTAGCTCTATCCTGACGACAAGGCCCGCTATGTTCCAGTGTCCATCTTCATTCAGTTGTCCTTCTCTGCATACCTTAATGAAGTCAAGACCCGGGTTCACCACAGCAATTCCACAGCAAGAGTTTGTGCAATGTAACAATTTATCACTTGTCAAGAGGACACTTAAAGTTCCAGCACTTAATAAGGGCTTCCTCTGGGCTTGAGTAATTAGAACTGAGCGGCTTGCATATTTACTAAATGTGGAGTGTCATTGCCACCATGGCCTATTGCCTGCATGAATTATTTCTCTATCTGTAATAAACAGCTGGGTAATTATTACTGCCATAATCAGATAAATTTCTCTCTGTAATGTTTGAGCATGGCAAATCTTTAACTCTTTGGAAGCACAGAGGGAATTTATGGACTCCCATTGCTCAGGCTACTTTTTCTGCTCTCGTGTCCCTTTCAAGGACATCTGTGAAACTCACTCCTTAACTGCAGGCCTTATTAATTTTTTTTTTCTTTATAAACATTTCATAGTATTTAGGGCAGGTCTTTTATCAAAGCAAGACTCCAAAATACACAGGCCGCGGTATGCATATGCTTAATCACACAAATTACTGCATTCATTACAGAGAAGTATACTAAATCCCATTTTATGGGCAAATTGATCTTAATGTTTACCACCTTTAAAGCATTTAAATTCTGCTAATGAATCATATTTTGTTTATTTCAAAATTTCTCTTATAAACAGCTTTTGTTGGTCTTTACAATTTTTTTCAATTAAATTACAGCAAACAGCAATTTGGAAATTTATAGATAATACTGTAATTCCATTATGACAAATGTCAAAGAGCACTCCGGTAATTATTCTTCATATGCAACACTGCCTAATTTATTGATTTTCCTTCAGTGTGCCATTATTTGTGTTATTTTAATTTCACTGTGATACTATTAGTACTATTAGTAGTTTTTCTGAAATATTTTATTTATTTATATTTACTTTTTGTAATTATGTTGTGTGTTTTTGTCATTTTTATTAGTTTTGGCATCTCTTTCCTAATATTTCTAAATATGTTTTATAGTTTTTATAATAGTATTTATTTTTATTTTACTTATTTTAGTTAATCAAGTTGAACTAAATTGCCTTGGCAACTAGCTGCAATTAAATAGGGGAGTATAAAAAAAACTTTATTTCAGTTAACAGTTATTTTATTTCAAGTAGCAAAAATGCTTTTTATGGTTTTAGTTTTAATTAATAATAATCCTGTGTTGTTCATATATCAAACAAAATATTTAAAAAATAATATATATGAACACACACAATGATGTCATATGTATATACATATTTAAGGTATTGTTGATAATGAATATCTTTCTACATATTATTACTATTATTAATAAATATGTGGCATGTTGCAAAAAGCTAACTAACAAGCTAGACTGAAGTCTACTGTAAACGACTTGTATTTTTGACTGAAAACCACATGCCTAGCTATTGATAGGTAAGGGTGATTAGCACCTGGTGGATTCTACAGTAAGTGGATGCAATTCAGTGGGCGCAGGGTGCTTATAGCTGTGTGTTGTTTAAGGACACACAAAGGTCATCTGTGTTAGCTGCTCCCATGTCTCTCTACTGGCCCATCAACACTAATGAGGTTTATGTGTTACCCCAGCCTTCTCTTAGACACAGATCGAGATCCCCTTCCACGGTTACAAATCTATTTGGCTTCTGTCCACTACAGTGCAATTAATAATAAGCGGGAGATATAGGTTAGCAAAGGTCACACAGACAGCGTGATGCCACACGAAAGAAGCCGAGGCTGGTCAGACAGCATTGCAAACATTGCAACCTCAAACCACAACAGAAAACACACTCACAGCCCAGACTACCATGCATACTTGATTTATTTTGCGATTTACTTTTACGGAGAGAGAAAAATGCATCATAGGAAAAGTGAGGTGATTTTTAAAGGTCAGTGCACAGAGCAAAATAACTATGTAACAAAGTATTTTGTGCATTTTATGTTCATTATTTTATTTTATTTTATTTTATGCTTACTCGAGCACAGGCATAAATGTAGTGGTAGAAAATATTAATTGATGTTCAATTAGGTTTATATGTATTATCATTTAAATAACAACGTGTGTCATGTATCAGAATGAAATAATCACAAGAATTCAGATTGTTGTACTATTATTATATCAGCCATGCTGTTCTCTTGAACAGCCGACAAGAGTATTGAACATTGTCTGATGTCTTGGGACTGAGACAAGAGTTTATAGAAGAGTAAGTTGAAAAAACTGTAGGTTTATGTGTACTGTTCTCTGCTTCCCAGGAGAGACCTGGAGGAATTTGCAGAGCTCCAGAGGAGAGAGAGAGAACGGATCACTCTGGAAAAAGAGGAAAAAGAGAAAAACATCCAGGCTCAGAGACTCCACTTCCTCCTGAGCACTAAACAGGTCAGTGGCGAATCAATGAGACACACATGATGTACGTATATCTGGCATACATATATGTGCATTTATTTGAGGTTACTGAAAAGAAACTGTGTAGGTAAGGAGTATGAAGACCTGCATTTATTCTTAATACAGCAGGGCTCCTAACTGCTGCAATCATCTGCTGATATATACAGTATATTCTTTTCAGAAATCCCACTGGCTATAATGTGTCTTGATGATTATGATGAAGTGCTCTGGCCATTGTTGATTCAGCAGCAGTGTGTGGTGAGCAGATATTTCATTTCGTGGCCTCTCCTTCGTGCTTTTATGGTCATCACAACCTCCTGTGGCCACACCGCTCATGCCCATGTTTCTGCTCTGGTCACTGGACGCTTAGTGCCGCGAACAGGGCAAGAGGACATTACTGCCAGCTGCCTGCAGTCTGAAACCAAGAAATAATACACATCAGCTAATGGCTAATGGACAACAGATGCGAGGGACCACATGCTAGTTAAAAGATGCTTTAGAGGGAGATAAGGAGAAAAAGAGGGGTGTGTGGGATAGGGATGCTGGGATTGACTAGTTTACTAGTCACCAGATTTTTTTTCTTTTTCTTCTTCTTTTTTGGTTACTGTGCACCTTGAGACATTTTGTTTTTTATTCCCTTTTTGTGAAATTATTTAGAAAAAAATATATATTTTATAAAATTACAATTATTTTTTTTTTATATAAAAAAAAAAAGAAAATTATTATAAAAACATTTAGAAAAATCTGATTACTGGAAGTATTTCTATGCTGACAAAAGTATTTTGTAAATATAATTAATATAACACCAGGGTATTCAACAAGGGAAAAGGACCGTGGACCACAAGAAAAACATTTATAATGGGGAAAAAAATAATTCTATCTATTTGAAATAAACTAATGATCAGATAAACATTTTATAATTGAATATGTGTTAAAACAATGCTTTAAATGATTATGATTAGTAAGAAATGGTTACTGAGATATTATCATTTAAATTTCGGGGGTTGGTAACATTTTTAAATGTTTAAAAAGTCTCTTATGCTCACCAAGGCTGCATTTAATTTAAACAAAACAGTAATATTGTGAACTAACTGTTTTCTGTTTTACATATATTTTATTTATATAAAATTACATTTTAAAATGTAATTTATTCCTGTCATAGCAAAGCTGAATTTTCAGCAGCCATAGCTCCCGTCTTCACTGTCACGTGATCCTTAAAACATCCTTTTAATATGCTGGTGCTTGGTGCTTAAAAAATATTTATTAATATCATCAATTTTGAATGCAGTTGTTCTGCTTAATATATTTGTGGAAACCGTGATAATTTTGTTTCAGGGTTCTTTAATAAATAGAAAGTTCCAAGGAACAGAATTTATTTTAAATATTTTTTAACCAATTTTAAAAGTCTTAAATGTCACTTTTGATCAATTAAAAAAAATATTACTGACCCCAAACATGCACATTTATTTATGACTGACAATACATCCAAAAGAGGACAGTCATTTAAAGCACAAAACTCAGACTTAAGTGCTTGTCAGTGCAGGAAAGGTTTAACTCTCTTTCGAGTTTTCTCATTCTCTCTTTCCCCCTCCTGCTTTTCTCATTCTCACTCCCTCTGTCTCTACGCTGGGCAACTTATGTTCCCACAGTCTGACCTTGTCTCCGTGAAATGGATGGGTCTCCCATGGTTCATCGTTAACCAGAGAAAATTCCACTGGACAAAAGTGGCTGCGCTGACATAGATGTAGTTCCTCGGTACGAGGGTCAACATCATTGCTCTTTTCCTGTAAGTCCGAGGCAAGTTGGGAGTTTGTGGTGTACCCCCCACCATGTGACACCCAAAGCTACACTATCCAAATGGGTGCAGGAGCCTTACTGAAGAATATTACCTGTAAAAGTTATTAACATATATAGTAATAAAGCTTAAAAAGCTCCCGCTGCTAATTAAGCACATATGAGGAATCGTCTGATTAGAGACTAATTATTCTAGCTGTTATTCCTCAGGCCAAACCAAGAACCACCGAAGTGCTACGGTAAGATCAGACAGCTCATAGTTAGATAGCAGACATGACACATGCCAGAGTGATGGATGTGTGTCCATTCAGGGGAGGTGACAAGTATAATTGTTTTGCTGTGGTCGACCGAATAAAGTGGGTTCCTTTTCCTGAAAGCTAAATGTGTTTTGCTGTAGGCTTTGCATGGATACCTATGATGAGAGGTACAATGGAAGCTGTTACCAGTCCATTGCTAGCAAATGAGTTATTAAAGAGGGCATGAGGATGTGTTTGGAGGTTTGCTCTGCAAGGTTTAAGGGCAGTCATTTAGAGAAACAGACTTTCTCTTCATTATGCCAACAGAAGCATAACATTGTTTTGTTCACCTTGCTTATCCAAACTGGTGGATTGTTGTGTTTGTGTGCTTATCTTAGTGTCCAGGTGTTTTCAATTCACCGTTCAGAGCAGAACCCGATGAGATGGAGCTGAGACTGAGAAAAGTGAAGCCACTTCTAGTGCGATCGGCTCCTAAAGAGAGGAAGACCCCTTATATAACCCCTGATCTCTCTAACCTGATGCAAAACTGGGAGCGACTACCACCCATTCACAAAAAGCCACAGGTGAGACATTGCCCTTAAAGGAATAGTTAATGCAAAAAAATACTAAATAATTAAATTGTCTTCATTTACTGTTCCTGATCTTGTTCCAAAAATTTATATTGCTCTTTCTTTAGTGGAACATGAGAGTACTTTCAAGCTTCAAAAGAGATGAAAAATAGTCAAAAAAGCAATCAATATGGCTTGTGTGCTTTATTTCAAGACTTCTAAAGTCATACAATATAATTGTTGTTATTCGCTGAAAATCTTGACTTCTGTACTGTCCTTGTTGTTTTAATGAGTAGCGATGTCTTATTCATGAACAAATGTTTTTTATGAGTCAGATCTCTTCAATGTAGCAGTTGATCAAGTTTACGAAACTGTTCTGAATGATTTGTTCATGAATCATAACTAACTGATTCTCAATTCTCATGACTTCATAAAACTTGGAATATAGTGCACAAGTTGTATGGACCACTTTTATGATACTTTCATGGCACTTTTTAGTCTTGTTTGAAGCTTAATAGCTCCAGTGCCCTATTATCGTAAGGACATTCTACAAAAACATGCTTAGTCGTATGGATTTAGATCAACATGGGTCAGTAAATAATTAAATTTTTATTTTGGGTGAAATATCGTCTATATTGTTCTGAAATTCAGGCAAAAAGCTGACGTTGAAGTTGTTTTAGGAACATTTATTTGTCTTTTAGCTAACTCGCGCTAAAATTTTCATTTATATTCATAACAAATGTCCCACCACCTCTTACTGGGATGTTTTATCAACTCAAAGCATTTGTTGACGTCCATCTAGACTGTACCAACGAAATGGCCTGACAAATAACAAAAGAGATCTTGAGATAACTATGATTAAAGCCAGGAGTTATTGCCACCCTGAGATCATTTTAAAAAAACTTGCCGTAAAAATTGAATAATATCATTAAACGTGCCTCCCTTCTTGCCTGGATACCACCAAAGCATTTAGACAGCCAGATAACCGGTGATAAGCACGCCTGTCAACCCAAGCCCCTTTATTCCATGGATCCCATTAAGGGACTCTCAGCAAGGGAATACCGCAACATGTAAAGGTGCCCCGATAAAGAATATCTTTAAGTACTTCTAAATCTAGCATGTCATCTTGTCCAGCTGTGAGGGAGATTTGATGATACGTATTTGCCATTTGTGTTATTTACGGTCCATGACTTTTATGGTAACTGGTTCTTATTATTGGTTTCTATTAATGTAAAACATAAGTGAGCAGAAATGAAGCGTGAGTCATATCTTTTTATTAGAGCCTGAGTTCTTCTCCCTGGGCTGGCTTTTCACTCCAGCTGGGCCCAGTTAGTGGGAATTCATAAAAAAAAACTGCCACATCTTTCACACAATGTGCAATAGATGAAGATGCATTATTTATCTACATTTTGCCCTTACAAAGACCCCAGAATAAGCACCCACCCTCTTTCTCTCTCCTCCCCTTGTCTCATGCCATCTCTCTCTATCTCCCAATTATTTGTGGTCTGAGGTGGAGCAACTCTCCCTGTGTGATAAGCATCTGCGAGTGATAGATTGATTATGTGTATTGTTAGGGGAAGTAAGGGGATTGGTCAGTGCCAGGTGCTGATCTGGTCTTGATAGTATCAAGGGCAGAGAATGTTGCGCCAGCATGAATTAAAAGCAGCAATGTCTGAAGGTCACATTTAAACTAAGAGTAACCAAAACAATAAGTTATGCATGTGGAGCCGTGCCACAAGTGTGTTTGCACCAGTTCAAAAGGAAAACTTTCTATTTGGGCTACTGAACACATCTGAAAGCTTGTGTGTCAACATGTTGGGTATTTATGTCCAAAATAACTGAGGCTTGTGGGACAGTACCATGGTATCTGTCTAAAAGGAATGGTATAACATGGTAATGCCATTCATTTTGGACAAGTGCTATGGTATTGTTTGATTACCATATTCATATGGTATTTCCATTTAAATCCAAGGTATAATGTAAAGGTGGTACTTTTTATCTATCTATAATAGTGTTTTGGTGATGTGGTTAAGTCAAGTCAGACTTTATTTATAGAGCATGTGCAAGCCTAAACTTCAGAAATGTAATGTGATGTTAAGCGATTGAGAACATATAGATCAATCAGTTATTAAAAATCTGTTATTAATGTGGAATAATATATGCATTATGTACACCAATTTTTATATTTGATGTTAATTTAATTTCACAAATAACAGCCATAACTGTCCAGATTGAGATTTTTTTTTTTGCAAGTGAGTTTAATGATTGATTCAAATGAAGTGTGTTTGACATTAATAAACAGCACACAGAAATGCCCTCATAAGAGTAAAAATGTCCCTGAAAATAAATTACAGAGGGGAAATTTAAAATATTTAAAATAAAAAAAGACAATTACTGACACGGCTATTCTATATTTGTATGTAGATTTGATAGTGAATTCTAATGCATTTACTTGAAGTCTCTAATGCCTCTGCCTCTTCAGGGCCTTCACTATATGGTCAAGGTATCATTATCAGCACTGGTCAGGTGTGTTAATGTCTTAGATGAAAAGACTGGGGCTTTCGAGGGTCCAGCTGGCCGTCCACAGGGGCCTCATCAATAACGAGGCGGGCGGGTCTGGGCAATAAAACATTTACCTTATCCCCCGTACCTGTCAGGGGCCCTTTCGCCCAGCTCTGGATGTGCAGCAGCAGCGGCATCGGCCCCTGGAGCCAAGCCTGCGCGTGGCCACATCCATCACTGCCCTGGAGGAGGCCAGAGAGGAGCTCAAACAGCAGGAGTGGAGGACTTGCGTCATCGACCAGACGTAAGTTACACACACACAAGCGCTCGCATGTACACATCCCTGCACTAGAGATTGTGTGAAATGCATGTATGTATTGATTTGGAGCTGAATACAATCAATGGAACATATTCTGTAGCAGTACTTAATAATGAAGTGTAAATTCACTGTACAAGATCTCAGTATGATCCAAAAAGTATTTGGACATTTATGGAATGGCATTCGTACATTTTTAAGTGGGACTTAAAGGGAAAAATTCAGTCATCATTTACTCATTTATATCCTGGATGTATTTATTTTTTCTTCTGCAGAACACAAAAGATAAGTGAAAGTTTTTTTTGGTTGTTTTTTTTTTGTTTTTTTTTTTTACAATGAAAGTCAGTGGTGTCCTAAACAACACCGACTTTCATTATATGAATACAAACTGTTGAAACATTCTTCAAAATATCATCTTTTGTGTTCTGCAGAAAAAAGAAATCATACAGGTTTGAAACAACATGAAGGTGAGTAAATAATGACAGAATTTTCATTGTTTCATTAACTATGCCTTTAAGGCAAATTAAAAAATTTATGAATGGCACTGGATAAGTGTAAGTACTTTCTAGAGCCACTGTACATCTTATCTTATCTGTACAGTACATTTACACTGCATTATCAAGAAGGCTTAGTGTTCATTTAAATTTTTTTGGTGAAATTAACTGTCTGAATACATTTTGAGGCCACTATAGATGTTAATATGAATGTAGAAAAGTTTCGAAGTTTAATAGTGTAAATTGTTGAGTGCTTGGTCTCTATATATAGTATATGATCAGTGTTTCTCAACCCTGGTCCTGGGCGCCCCCCAGCACGGCACATTTTGTGTATCTCCCTAATCAAACAAACCTGATTCAACTCATTAGCTCATTAAAAGAAACTCCAGGACCTGAAATGGGTGTCAGATAAGGGAGACATACAAAATGTGCAGTGTTGGGGGGCACTCAGGACCAGGGTTGAGAAACACTGGTCTAGATGCACATTAATCACACAACAAGAGAAGCCCCACACTTTATTTTCTCAAACGTTCGGAGCAGATGGTAAAATCTCAAGTGGGGCTAGTTGCTAAATAAGTTAGCAAACAACAGCAACTCTGGCCAAAAATACAGCTTTTTTGACTATTAATAGCCCTACACTGTGTTTCATTTCATCATTGCAGAGACATTATTAGCTGTCTTCTCTGCTATATAATTATTGCAGTGGATTATCATAATAGCATTTTTTCACAACGTTACTTGAACAGTGGCATCTCTGTTTTAAAACCCTTCCGTTTTATTTTAATTACAAGCTCAATGTGCAGTGTTTTTTAATCATGTTTAATTTGTTTTCTTCTTGCTCCAACTTTAAACAGTAAATTAGTTAACCCCATTAACACAGAATACCCCAAACAGGCTGTAATAGGAGAGGTGGTTACTGTGTAAATCGTATTATACATGTGGTGTCTGCAGGGCATGGCGAAGCATGATTAGAGTCTTTTTGATCCAGGATCCCACTATCGTTTCCTGCTAATTTCCTCCGGAATGTTTCAAAGAGCTACCGAAATGTTGCTACTCTCTTTTTTTTTTTCCACTAACAGCTTAATTTCAGTCCTAGTGATGTCTCTTCAGCCTCCGATGCAGATAATGCTGGAATGGATTACCATTATTTAGAAAAACAAACAACTCCATAGTGAACTAAACTAGTAGGCTTATAGTTGGACAAGGAATAAGTACTTAGGCTGTGAAGTGTTTCTTAATTAAAAACATATTTTCCTTTTTTTTTACATTGAGAACTACAATGCAAAATATTTTGTAAGGTACACTAGTAATATGTTTCATATGGTAAATCCACTAAATAAACTTGTTTTATTAAAGTCAGAAATATTAATTCATATTAGTGAATCAACCAGACTAAATTAGGTTGCACAAACAATTAAAATGAATGATTTATTTAAAATAAATCAGTAAATAAATAAAAGTTTAATAATATCTAAGGAATGATTTATATAAGCATATAAGTTTTTCTTTTATTTATAATTTTATTATTATTATTATTTATTTATTAGTCTTTAATTCTGTTCTTTTTAAAAAACAATGTTACTCAGCAGGCTGGCTTACAAATGTGCAAGGAGAAAACTGAATACTTGCATCTCTACATATTTCTCTTTTTCTCTCCCTCTGCCTCTTCTCTGTTCATTCTCTCTACTTCCTCTAACACTCCCTCTTTTCCTGTTTTGGTGGCCTCCTAGGGTGTTGTCACTGGGCATTGGTCTGCACTGCCAAAAGATCCCCTGCGAGAAGTCAAACTTTCCTTAATGGCTTTCAATGAATAAAAACTACCCTATTAAAATGCAATTCAGTGGCAATGAAAGCAGTAAGTGAAACAGCCGGCAAGCAGCAGAAGCGTTGTGTATTCTGGGACATTGGGGCCACATTAATTTTTGCTCTGTGATGTCCGTCCCATGTGCACATTAGCATGGGTTGCACTGTAATCTGTCTTGTAGGGAGGCTGGTGTCTCTAGTGGATAAGGATGTCTGTGGGAGATTGGGCCATTATTTAAAGGGCCAGCGCAGTGTTTGATGTCACCCCCTTTTTTGCCTTGCGCCATCAAAGCTTTACCAAGCATTATTGCTTATGAGGTACTTACATGACAGGAGAGGCCCTCTAATAAATAATGATATTTTTCAGGATGGAAATGACTAAAGAGAGTGTCAAACAAACTTCAGTTCTGCCAGAAAGTTTCACTTCAGTTGGCCCAGCCTGTATTATTATTTTTTCCTAAACAGATGTTTCAGAAAGTATCAATGCAGAAATATGAAACAGTCTTTGATCTAATGATCCCATCTGTTTTTTGTTTTATTTACTCTGAATATGTGCCAGTTTTGCACCGTATTTGTGCAACTTTTGCTTTTCCAGGCGGAGCGATTATGGTTACATTTTCCATATTTGTCTGTTTTGATTTCATTAAAGAGGACAGGGCTTCACCTGTACTTCTGGTTTCATCATCAAAAAAGGGAACGGACACAACAAGAATTGGGAATATAAAACCTTTCTTTGCAGATTGTGTTCACAGAAAGTGCCAAGGTTGTTGGTTGTTTGTTTGTTTTGTGACAAGCCAAGCCAATGCCCAGTGGACGTTTACCCAGCCTCGCGCAGACACCTCTTGTACCACACTGGATAAATCTTCCTCCAGGCAAAGTGTCTTGGGTACAATTTACAAAATCAACCTCGCTGTAATTAACATCTGGCATTTTTCCTAAGTAACCGCTATTTGCACTGAACGTGTGCCCAGCAAACACGCAGCATGTGCAGAAACAACCACAAGACATCACAACGATTAAGAAACGATTTGGGTTTAGAAATGAGCTGGACTAGAATGAAAAGTGCCTGTGAGGGAGGGATGAGGCGACGTGGTGATGTATAAGTAACATGTGCTGTGTTGTGAAAATAGCAGAACGTTAGCTCTTAGCAGGCACGTTAGCCAAGACCAGAGGCCAGTAATTGGGTCGACACTGAGATTATGCTGCATTAAGGCTAATAGAACTAATGTTGGAAATGTCAATTTTGCTATTCATATATCTGACCATTCAAAATTTGGGGTCCGTAAAAGTTTTTTTTTTTTTTTTGGAAAGAAATTAATACTTTTATCCAGCATAGTCGCATTAAATTTATCAAAACATAAGTAATATTACAAAAGATGGTAACACTTTAGTATAGGGACCAATTATCACTAATAACTTGCTTATTAGCATGCATTTTATTAACATATTGTCTTTTTATTAGTACTTATAAAGTACATATTCTGCATGACCATATTCTACATCCCTAATCCTACCCAATACCTAAACTAACAACTACATTACTATTAATAAGCAGCAAATTAGGAGTTTGTTGAGGCAAAAGTAATAGTTAATGGTTTGTTAGTGAGAATTGGACCTTAAAATAAAATGTATCACAGTTTCCACATAAATATTAAACATCACAACCATTTTCAACAGTGATGATAAAAATACATTTTGCAAATCAGCATATTAGAATGATTTCTGAAGGATCATGTAACACTGAAGACTGATATTAATTCAGCTTTGCCATCACAGGAATAAATTACATTTTAAAATATGTTATTTGAAATTGCAATAATATTTCACAATATTACAGATTTTACTGTATTTTTGCTCAAATAAATGCAGCCTTTGTGAGACTTCTTTCAAATTAAAAATCTTGCTGACCCACACTTCTGAACAGTAGTGTGTGTTTTTTCAATATCCATTGTATATTAGCTTATGAAGTATATCTTAATTACTATTTCTGTTTTCTTTTCACACAGTTTTCTTCCATTTTCAAACACAAGCCGAAATAAGCGGTACGAGGGCATGATGCACACCTCCACCCCCTTTGAGCAGGTGGCATATGGGACAAAGCACTTCCGGGAGGAGCACAAGGAGTACCTCAAGGGGAAAAAGGTACACATTTCGCTAGCATGCACATGTAGAACTGCCAAAACGCATTCTGTGTGCTGGCATGATTTGGGAAGCGGGATATGGGATCTGTGATGGTAGTGAGAGGGGGACCGGTGTTCATTCTAAACCCACGCACCCCCACCAAAACAACCTCCATGTTGAGCGTCGCAAATTTGTCAAATTTGACAGCAATTTAATAAATACCCACAAGTAAATGAGAAGAAAAGGCTCCCCCCCCCTCGAAGTCCTCACATTAGGTAATTGACTGTGTCTCTGCTGAAGGCCGTTCATGGATGAGAGTTCTTTATTGGCTCTTACCAGCAGGCACTACCCTCTGCATCCAGCGCAATTGCCCGGAAATACCTCCTCCGGAATGAAATAAATAAGAGAGCCCCTACTGCTGACACCGCTCATGTATGCTTGGTTGATACTAGATGTGGCAGCTCGGTTCCGCTCTGCGTTTTAATTGTTATCTGTATGGCATAACTTTTTTGACTTTTTAAAAAATTTTTTAGAGGGAATAGAATTCATCAGGTCATTCCCTGAATACATCAGACACTCAAAGTTCTTGGTCTAGCTTCACCATATCAATGCCATTCCGTAATACGTCACAAGTTAAAAGACGTGGTGCGTGCTTCTCTCTGATTCTTTTGGAAAGTAGCCCAGTGTGTCTTGATTCATACTGTGAAGGTCTGAGGCTTGTGCTCACACCGTCTGACAGTAATGAAGACTCAGCATAACGAGCGTGCCTATGATCAACATAATTGATGTGGCAGAGGACACCATATTAAGGATTATCACTGATCCATAGCTAAACAGGAGGCAAACCCTCAGTCTCAGGGGTGATTCTCTACCCAGAAGAGCTTTACCACAGTATTACATACGCTACTGTTCAAACTGTTCCAAAGTTAGGGGTCAACACAATGTTTTTTTATATATTAATAATGCATGGATGCATTCAATTGATCAAAAGCAAAAGGAAAGACATTTATGATGTTACAAAATAATTCTATTCCAAATAAATGCTGTACTTTTGATGCTGTTCTTTCTATTCATCAAAGAATCCTGGTAAAAAAAAAAAAGTATCATGGTTTCCAGAAAATTATTAAACAGTAGAACCCTTTTCAACATTGATAATAATAATAAATGTTTCTTAAGCACCAAATCAGCATATTAGAATGATTTATTTACATATTAAAATGATTTCTTGTGACACTGAATACTGGAGTAAATACTGTCTAGTGAAAATTCGGGAATAAATTACATTTAAAATATATTAAAATAGAACACAGTAATTAAAAATATGTAATATGTCACAATTTTCAAATAATCAAAGAAAATCCACCATAATAATACGAGACTTTGTTTAAATACAAATAAATAAATAAATCAAATCTTACAGACCACAAACTTTTGCATGGTAAATGCATAATAAATATACATTCTTATTGTGAAATATAAAATCATATTGTGAAAGATTACATCAGTTCATATTTTGATACATATATTTACTGTGATTTTTAAAAAATATATATATTTTTTCATATATTTACTGAGATATAAACTCACAATTTCAAGAAATAAAGTCCCCATTACTTTTTTTACACTTGAGGTTTCATATGAACAGGCATGGAGCAGTAACCAACTGCAATATTGTTCATGGTATTCTTGCGTTTGATCTGTTAGCACATGCTAGGCTCATTAACCCTTAGCAAAGCTGCCTCAGTGTCTGTAATTAATGCAGCTAGCTCATGCAACATACGCACAGCATTTCTGCTTTGAATGGATTATTCTTTCCCCTCAACACTATTTGGATGAGTTATCTGGAAGAACTCACTCATTCTCTCCCACCTCATCATCATCCATTCCTCTATCACTGGGGGGTGCAGGGTACGTTTTGCTTGTCTAATTATTTTGTTTGCTTATATATTTATTTACATCCTTCTCTGAAGAGTGCGACTGCAGAGCTGTTTTTGATTAATCAAAATGCATTTGACTTCTAAGAGAGTAATGTACTCCAAAAGATGCCCTCCATTTAACCCGGGTCACACAGAGACCCAGACGCCAGAGGCACTGATGTTCCCGTGAGAATTACACACGTTAAGATGACGGCACTCTCGATGGGTTTGATTCGGATATTAGATTTATGCAAACTGCAGTTAGAATATGCATCTCTGTCTTATATAACAAAATACTGCCTGCCTTTGTGTACCTAATATTTTTTTATTATGAAGCTTTTTAATGTTTTGTATATACATTTTTTTAACATTTTATTGTAGATCTATCTGAGGTAAATAGATCCGTAAAGAATATTAAAAGCTAATAATAAAATCATTTTTTAAAATGTAATAATAGATATGTAAAAAAATAAGTAAAACATTTCTTATTTTCATACATTTTTCTATATGAAAGGACTATGGAAAATGCCTGAAAAAGGTATTTTGTGTTAGGTATGTTAGGTACGTTATGTGAAAAAGAAATTTTTTCACATCCCTAATTTCTCACAGGAAAAGCTTTGTCCCTTGATGACGATCCCGAGCTTTGAAATATAAATTGATTCTAAAGAGGAAATTAGATGGCACTTATTACACTGTCTAACTAGTAACCCAGTGTCATTTGTCTGTGGCTTGATAAATGTTCCACCTATGATGGTTACCAATGAGAAATACGTTGCACGCAAACCTTTTTTTTAATTTTTTTATAAATCTCCTAAGCCCCTCACTTTTTTCCTTTGCATTGACTCACATGAAGATAATGATGGATATGGTAATTTCCAAGTGCATCTCTGATTTAATTATACCCATTCTCTTTTTCCTTTCTTCTCCGTTCACTTGTTCATCCCACCCCTCATAGGACCCACACCTTGAGATGTGTTATTTCCCAGATTAACATGTCTTAACCTGAAAGCAGTGCTTGGTGATTTATCTCAATTGTGGAGATAAAAGGAAGTGATGCAGGAAGGATTGCAGAGGCTTCAGACATGCTCAGATACATAACGAATGAACTTTGCCTCTGATATTTGAATCTGTCTTTTTTTACAGAGCTCTTTTGAGGTCCTATTTTTTTCTTTTAAGATTGAAGTCCATTAGAAACCAAAGTTTTACTGAACAAAGTGATCTGAACTGTTATGGATATAAACGTTAAATCTGCATTGTCTGTCGTTTTTCCACTTCCATTTAAGGCTGTTCCTAAGGCACAAAACTAACTCATATTTATATGTATTTAATCTTAAAATACAAACATATATCCCAAAAATTCTATAAAATTTTTAAAGGCCATGTCCACACATACATGGGTATTTTTATAAACAGAGTTTTTCCTTCTTCCGTTTTAAAAAAAATCTCCATCCACATGAAAACGCAAAAGCATGCTATGAAGCACTGTCAAGAGCATGCCAAGCCAACAGGTGGCGATATAATCTCAACCGTAAAGCCATGCTGGCCAATCAGAAGCCTGAAAAAGTTTCCAGTAGGCAGCGATAACAGCGCATGCTCCGACGTCACAAGCCAAAATCTCCGGTTTCGCTGTCTACACGATAACACTGCAACCGGAGTTTTTTCCAACAAATTTAGTTTTTTATAAAGTTTTAAAATAATAGTTTTTATCAAAAGTTAAGCACACTTTGCAATGGTGTCCGTAAAGAGAATGCTTTAGATCAAATATAAGACAAAGAAAAATCTGTTTATATCACTTGTGACAGCAGATTATTTTTATTTTGCGTCATTTCCGAGTTATACAAAAAATATGAAATACTATTTAATTATATCTAGAAAACTTAAATTGATAGCTATTTAAGTCAGTGAGGTCCAAAAATGCTTAAAAATTTAATTTCCACCTCAAAATTTAATAGCGATTTAAGGTGGAAATGACATTTATTTAAGATGGTTCAGGAAAACAAATGACAGTTATTTTCTGTGCTGCATGTACAATTTGTTAGTAAACTAAATAAATACACCAGTCAGTATCAAAAGTGTGTTTTAAGAGAGTTTAATTTCTATATGTCCACAAGTTCTCGTAGTTGAAGAAACACCCTTAAATGGAATCAGTGTTAAGGCGGCATTACAGTGATTTGAGCTGTTTCAGATATGAAGTGACGGTCCACAGCGGTGTGTTGTCAGCCCAGTTGTGGATCAGAAGTGATGCAGACAGACAGAGAGGCACAGGGTCCGCGCTTTTCCCTCTCCTCTGTAATTAGTGTGTTAGTTAATAGCCCCTTGACAAAGATGACCCTTCATCAGGCTGTACGCCGGCCGCTGACTAGCCAGCCCTGCGATCTGATTTTTGCATCATCACCACCGGTTCTAACAAATTGAACCACCAGGGCTAATTATGGTGGCTAATAAAGTGCATTGCCTTGGTGCAAAATCCTCTCCATCGTCTTGCATTAGACTTTCATCAATCATGTTTTCAAACTGATATATCTTAGCACCAGAATATCAGCACACAGCCTGGGCCTACATTTATTTTCTCTCTCTTCTATTTTAATGTTGCTTCAGTAATTGCTTTTCCAAACTCCCTTTGCTAGACCCCCATTTCCATTGTCCCCCTGCCGAATATCGCCTCTAAGCATAAGCAGATTTTTTTTTTGTAATTATTGTTGTAGGCCTAAAATGACGCTTTGTTAGTGGCTGCTCTGGTTAATCACTGGCGGAATAATGCATCACCATGATATGTGTGATATATGAGGTGTGTTTAAATGCGAATGATATTCATAATGAGCAATAAATAAGTGATATAAAAGTAGGACAACCTGCTTTGACTCCAGGATAGGAAATGGCATGTGAGTGTTTCTATTACGCACACACACATATGCTCATATTCCAGACCGGACTACATTAGTGACCAAGAGCCTCTGGGTGATTCACTATATCCATTTTATAGGGATATAAAATCCCTCGGCCCCTTCATTTGCCACGTAATAAACAATTCCCCTGACATGTCTCTAACTTTTTTCTTACATATGTATCAATTAACTTTACACCTTCTTCTATTATGTCAGCGTT